GGTGGTGCTATTGAGGCAATATTTTTATCTCATTTTTTTATATAATTTTTACATGTCATTAAATGAATGAATGCATTCAATATCATGGGTTTCACATGAATTAAAAGAATTAATTATTTTGATAATACATTAGATCATATAAAAAAAAGAGACAAAAAGATCGTTCAAATATCATTTCCCTTTAGTATGAGGCCTTGCTCCATTAATTAAATTCTATTAATGGTTTCTTATATTATGGCTTTTTTATTGACTTATTTAGTATATTTGGATCTTTTCAATTAAAAGAACATTTGATGCTGCTTCCACTTTTGAAATGTTTTACAATATAGTTGAAAATCAAATCCGACATAAAATCAAATCTTTTGTCTCTAATGGTGGAGGTCAGTATGTTGCCCTGGGTCAACATTTTCAAAAACATGGGATTTCTCATTTTAGAGGCCCTCTTTATACACTAGAACTAATGGTGGTTTGGTATGGCAGTTTGGGGTAATAATTGGTAGTTTTGTTCAAAATCTAAATTATTAAAAATAAATATTTGGTAAATTTATTTATTTTAAAATTGCTGTAAATTAAATTTTGGTATAAATTTTTATTTAACAATTTGAAATTAATAGATATTGGTTATGATCTAAACTATTAACTGATTGAAAATACTATTTAAAATAACATTTTGTATTATATCATCAGCGGGTTAAAATTTTTTAATTTTATTAACAAATTTATCCCATTTAATTTTTTAATTTTAGACTATAATTTTTAATTAGTATTTATTTACTTAATTAGATAATGCCGTATCATTCTTCCCAAAAGAAACAAACTAAGATGATGGTATTGGCATAGAAGCCTCTAGAATAGCTGCTTTGAATTAGAGGAATCAAAGCTTGAGTACATGATAAGAAATTCATGTACCCATGAATATTTGATAATAAGGAGCATGTTTATTATTTAATGTTTTGGGTATGCAAAAAGTGTTTTCCAGTCTGCCTTAATAATATGGGTAAGCATATATTCGTTAAGTGATTGGTCTCTTTTGTGATACAAATTACAAAACACTGTAATCTTGGCGTATGGCTTTTTGACTTTTGGTATAACTGAAATGACCAATTCGTCTTGACTAGCATTCACGAAGTGAACGGAGAAAAATCATTTTCAGCCCTCCAAATTTCATTAAATTCTCAATTAAGTTATTTAGTTTTTTTCAAAAAAATTTTCAGCCCTTTTAGTTTTTTATTACTTAAATTCTTAAACTCTTCCAACAAGAAACTAAATCCTGTAGCCTTTAATTCTAATAAATGAACTCAAGTCTTTTATTTTCGCTAATTAAGAATTTGAAGTTTTATAATGAAAGTGACAAGTTTAATCCTTAAAAAAAGTGATCATAAATTAAAGAAAAAAATAAAGATTTATTTATATATAAGTTTTACATATTACACTTATACAAAATTTTAACTATTTAGCTCTTTACTTTCAATAATTAAGATTTATTATGACTTTTTAAATAAAAAATAATCATTTTTAATAAATATGATAAAAAGTAATCTCAATGATTGGATCTATTAATAAATAAATGTCATCTTATAGGTAAGATCCAAGGTTTAAGTTTTGGGGTCAACATTCAAAAAAATTATTTTTCTTGAATGCACCATACTAGTGAGGGTGTACCCTTAAAATCATTTGGAGATGGAACAGTTTTATGGTACGTAAAAACTGATATAAAAATACCTTAATAAAAAATGCAAAAAAAAGATAAAAAAGTGAATAAATTTCAATTATTAAAAATGAAAATATAAGTGATCAAGATTTTGTGTAATTGTGGTATCTAAAACTTATGTATAAGTGGATTTTAACTCTTCAAGAAATAAAGTGTAATTTCTAAGCTAATTTCTATTATAAAAAAGTGAATGAATCATTTTTTTTTTTATGTAGTGACGGTATAAAAATGGTACAAGAGCATACAATACAAATGTAACTACTTAAAGAAGAATAAACATAAATTATTAAAACCTTCAAGGAAATTTGTTATATGTGAGAGTTGAATACATAAAATTGTTAGGTTTCGCTCTCTATGTCTTTAACTTATTAACTTAAGCCTCACTTGTAATGAATCATAACATGTATATCAAACGCCAAAAAGAAAAAAAAATCATGATTTATGGTTTTTACTTTTAATAAAAATAAAAATTAAGATATTTTGATATTTAAATGTTATAATTATTTATAAAATTATTTAAATACTTTTAATAATTTTTTATATGTTAATTCTTTAAATATATTTAAATCTTTCATCATTATTATTATTATTTTAATTGCTAAAATAGCCTAATTTTTTGCAATTCCTTCACTTTTTAGGGGATCGATAAGCTTATTACATTGTGGGGTTAAAGTAATGTCTTCGAAATTTCTGGACTAAGATACTAAAGAAAATTTAAATCCAAATGCAAATTGCAAAAAACCCCCGGGAGTCACGGGAACCACTTTTGGGCAATAACGTAATTGTATCTTTTCATTA